AGAGAGAGAGAGAGAGAGAGAGAGAGAGAGAGAGAGAGAGAGAGAGAGAGAGAGAGAAAGAGAGAGAGAGAGAGAGAGACGTTTGAAGTTTAAACAACGAATCAACATCACGGCACACGGGCAGTAACCCATAAGTGCTCCGTTCTCAAGTGTGAGTCCGAAGTAGCTCAGTGCAGTGTACGGGCTGCGTAGCACCAGCGAGGATCCTAAAATATTTTAGGTAGATTTTTAACTCCAAATTTAGTCCTGCCAGCGCGTATTTAGTGCACAACACATGGACGACGAGTTGAGGACAGACATGATTAATTACTGCAAAACACACGGACGACGAGTTGAAGACAGACATGATCAATTACTGCACAAGACATGGACGACGAGTTGAGGACAGACATGATCAATTACTGCAAAACACACGGACGACGAGTTGAAGACAGACATGATCAATTCCTGCACAACACATGGACGACGAGGTGAGGACAGACATGATCAATTCCTGCACAACACATGGACGACGAGGTGAGGACAGACATGATCAATTCCTGCACAAGACATGAACGACGAGGTGAGGACAGACATGATCAATTACTGCTCAAGACATGGACGACGAGATAAGGACAGACATGATCAATTCCTGCACAACACATGGACGACGAGATAAGGACAGACATGATCAATTCCTGCACAACACATGGACGACGAGGTGAGGACAGACATGATCAATTCCTGCACAACACATGGACGACGAGGTGAGGACAGACATGATCAATTCCTGCACAAGACATTGACGACGAGGTGAGGACAGACATGATCAATTACTGCACAACACATGGACGACGAGGTGAGGACAGACATGATCAATTACTGCACAAGACATGGACGACGAGGTGAGGACAGACATGATCAATTACTGCACAAGACATGGACGACGAGTTGAGGACAGACATGATTAATTACTGCACAACACATAGATGACGAGTTGAGGACAGACATTTTCAATTACTGCACAAGACATGGACGACGAGCTGAGGACAGACATGATCAATTACTGCACAACACATGGGCGACGAGTTGAAGACAGACATGATCAATTACTGCACAAGACATGGACGGCGAGGTGAGGACAGACATGATCAATTCCCGCACAAGACATGGAAGACGAGATAAGGACAGACATAATCAATTCCTGCACAAGACATGGACGACGAGGTGAGGACGGACATGATCAATTACTGCACAAGACATGGACGACGAGATAAGGACAGACATGATCAATTCCTGCACAAGACATGGACGACGAGATGAGGACAGACATGATCAATTCCTGCACAACACATGGACGACGAGGTGAGGACAGACATGATCAATTCCTGCACAAGACGTGGACGACGAGGTGAGGACAGACATGATCAATTACTGCACAAGACATGGACGACGAGATAAGGACAGACATGATCAATTCCTGCACAACACATGGACGACGAGGTGAGGACCACATGGACGACGAGGTGAGGACAGACATGATCAATTCCTGCACAAATTAACTGCACAAACAACGACGACGGTGAGGACAGACATGATCAATTACTGCACAAGACATGGACGACGAGATAAGGACAGACATGATCAATTCCTGCACAACACATGGACGACGAGGTGAGGACAGACATGATCAATTCCTGCACAACACATGGACGACGAGGTGAGGACAGACATGATCAATTACTGCACAACACATGGACGACGAGGTGAGGACAGACATGATCAATTCCTGCACAACACATGGACGACGAGGTGAGGACAGACATGATCAATTCCTGCACAAGACATGGACGACGAGGTGAGGACAGACATGATCAATTACTGCACAACACATGGACGACGAGATAAGGACAGACATGATCAATTCCTGCACAACACATGGACGACGAGGTGAGGACAGACATGATCAATTACTGCACAACACATGGACGACGAGGTGAGGACAGACATGATCAATTCCTGCACAACACATGGACGACGAGGTGAGGACAGACATGATCAATTACTGCACAACACATGGACGACGAGGTGAGGACAGACATGATCAATTACTGCACAACACATGGACGACGAGGTGAGGACAGACATGATCAATTACTGCACAACACATGGACGACGAGGTGAGGACAGACATGATCAATTACTGCACAACACATGGACGACGAGGTGAGGACAGACATGATCAATTACCTGCACAAAACACATGGACGACGAGGTGAGGACAGACATGATCAATTACTGCACAAGACATGGACGACGAGGTGAGGACAGACATGATCAATTCCTGCACAACACATGGACGACGAGGACAGACATGCACAAGACATGGACGAGGTGAGGACAGACATGATCAATTCCTGCACAACACATGGACGACGAGGTGAGGACAGACATGATCAATTTACTGCACAAAACATGGACGACGAGGTGAGGACAGACATGATCAGTTACTGCACAACACATGGACGACGAGGTGAGGACAGACATGATCAGTTACTGCACAACACATGGACGACGAGGTGAGGACAGACATGATCAATTACTGCACAAGACATGGACGACGAGGTGAGGACAGACATGATCAATTCCTGCACAACACATGGACGACGAGGTGAGGACAGATATGATCAATTACTGCACAACACATGGACGACGAGGTGAGGACAGACATGATCAATTACTGCACAAGACATGGACGACGAGGTGAGGACAGACATGATCAATTACTGCACAACACATGGACGACGAGGTGAGGACAGACATGATCAATTACTGCACAAGACATGGACGACGAGGTGAGGACAGACATGATCAATTCCTGCACAACATATGGACGACGAAGAAAAGAATCTTCTTTTTATGAAGATAGTTTTAGATGTAAGAATATATCTCATCCTGATCACAGGAGAACATGCTCTGTTAGAAACGTAAAGAAAAATGCCAAATGTTATCTGTCAAGATGCTAGGAATAGTTTTGATTTCATTAGTTAGACGTACACTGTCTGTCTTCTCCGGACATGTTGAGGTGTGAACTCAAGAACTTGGGGACAGCAGGGGAGACAGACGGCAAGAAAGCAAGGCGAAGTCAGAGATTATTATACCGATGGCTTAGACAGATTGAATGGTCGGGACAAGAACACGGAGGGAGTAGGGGGAGGGGGGGGGCTGAAAGTTCTCTGGCTTGGAATTGACAGAACGAGACAAATAATTCATGTATAATATAAGGCTACCAGAGTTAGAGACAAAAACAAGAATACGTATTCACTACAAGAAAGAATAACGCATGAAAATAAAATTAATAGAAAACCACAACAACAAAGCAAGTAATACGTATAGCATACATATCGACCTAAACAAATGGAAATCATAGGACAAATAATAAATACAGAACATGAAAAGATTTTAACAAGAATTATGTAAAAAATATAAGGCAATTAAAGCGATAATAAAGTTTAACTTAGAACTGGCTGTGAGGAAAGGGGAGAGAGAAAGATAAATAGATAGATGGTTAGAAAGAGAGAGAGAGAGAGAGAGAGAGAGAGAGAGAGAAAGAGAGAGAGAGAGAGAGAGAAAGAGACAGACAGACATATAGAAAACCAATCAAGAAGGCAGACATGCAGGTAGCGTTAGCCATATAGGTAGGTAGACAGAGATATACAGGCATAGATGGAGGGAAAAATAAATAAATCTGACAAAACAGACACTACATTGCTCCTGCACACACACACACACACACACACACACACACACACACACACACACACACACACACACACACAATGCAATAAACGGGATGTCAATTGAAAACGAATGATTCAATATACAAGGTAAGCAGAGAAAGCTGCACTGATTAAATACAAAAAATAAAGCAAGATCAAGCACAAAAAATGAGAAACAAGAACCGTTTCCGTCAGTTGAGATATTCGACATCATTGCGTCAGTAAAGTGAAGCTTTTGCTATACAAGTATAGACTGATGAGACTTGTACAATCGCAAAGAAGATGCTAAGTGTAATGAGAACATGAGCATTGAAGTGCACTAAATATGCTTTTCTGTTCTGTTCTGTTCTGCGAAACACGGAGAAATAGCAAACTAGCTGAACAAGATATACTTACTGACAGCGCAGATGTGTTTCTAATAATTATATGAAGATTATGTTTCACCTGCATGGTAAAACAAATTAAAAATAAAACAGTCCACAAACAAATGATGAAAAAATAATGTATCCGGGAAATACATGGATGCCAAAAATGATTTAGGAAATAGGAAGCAGATGGAAAACACGACAGAAGACACAAGGTTAGATTAAATAACATGTGTAGGAATATGTGAAAGAGGAATTAGGAATGGATCCCTCTAGGACTGACGTGTGAGAAAAAAGAAAACTGCTAGTTTACAATCAGTGTGCTACGGAAACAGTTAGCATCAACATCTTAAAACGTTGGCTGGGGGAGACGGAGCACCTATGGGTATGCCCGGTGTGCTTTTGGTGTCGATTCTTAAATCAGTAAATCATGAAGAAGATATTTTATGCGATAAAAATTAACTGACAAGTGATATAGATATACAACGAAAAATACGAAGAAAATGAAGATTAAAAAGAGGGAAGGGGGGCAGAGATATGGTTGTTTCGACCAAAGTCTTCATCGACGAAAAAATAAGGCAGTAGAAAAACAACAAGTTCCAACCCCTGACGGGACAGTCACGTCAGGGGAAAGCAGTCGGGGGGGGGGGGGCAGTTCTGTCTACGTTTTTTTTTTTTTTCTTTTCCTTCTTGTTGGATTTTCCAGATATAGCTGCTTCTGGACACCAAGCAACTGTACGTGCTCGGCTACTTATCATCTGTTAATCTGCCACAGCTGGCGGAACAAAGGGAAAATTGACACACACAAAAGAAAAAAGCAGAAAGGACACAAATTGAAAGCAAACTGATGAGAATGAAAGAAGCGTAGATAACTTACACGGTGAAGTGGTAGATGAAACATTTCCATCCCGTCGGCCGCTCTAGGAAGTTGTAGATGCGCGCCTGAAGGGAAGTCTTGCTGTGCAATCGAGAGTTGGTGACTTTGCTCTGAAGCATTGCATTGTAAGTCTTGTCTATGGCAGCGCTCAGACCACGAGACTCAAAGAAAGGGGCAAAGGTCGAGGTCGACGGTGAGTATTCTACCTCCATTGAATGAGAGTGCATGCCAGGATAACCGTTCTTGGATGATTTCTTTCTCTTGATAATATCCAGGAAATTTATTCTGGTGATTAATTTGGCTGGCGATTTCGGGGATTGAGATACCACTGAAAACTGATTCCGGTCGTCGCTTTCTGTATATCCGGTCATCTCCCTGTCTCCACTTTCATGGACAAGTTTTCTTTCATTATTTTGATTGCTGTCGGTATTCTGTTCTTCCTCTTTTGCATCTTCAACGATCTTCTCAGGTGACAATATTTCTTGACCGAATCCATTATCGTTATTTCTGTTTTGTTCGAAAGCGATCATTTTACCCTAATCCAAGCGGCTGTTGCTTAGTTCCCATGGCTCTGATTGCGTTGAAAGTTATCCCATGTCAGACAGTTGCAGTGATGGTCACTTTGTAACAAGAAACTACTGCGAAAAGACAGTAATCATTATCCGAGAAACCACACGATAAAAATTAGTTTGTCTTATAAGCCACATATTCAGGAAATGGCGACTGGTTGGTTATCACCGAAATTGCAATATACCGTATGTAGTGATGCGTGTGCAGACAGCCGGTTTTATCCACACTTGAAATTTTAAAAGCTGGCAGTCGGTATTGACCTTCTGGCGACTGGCTTATTTACTGTAATTGCAATATACCATATACAGTAATGCGTGCGCGGGCAGCCGGTTCTATCCCGACTGCTGCTTCGTCCAATGATGATTTGCAATTTTAGTAGAGTTTAGTCGGTGTTAACACTCTTTTTTTCTCTTTATTTTCCTTCTTGTTGGACTTTCCGGATATAGCCGCTTCTGCACACCAAGCAACTGTACGTGCTCGGCTACTTTTCATCTGTTAATCTGCCACAGCTAGCGGAACAAAGCGAAAATTGACACTGGCTTATGCATTGTTGTTGAGGTATACCTTATACAATATTACGTGTGCAGGCAGTCGGTTTTATCCCGACTGCTGCTTCGTCCAAGGATGATTTGCGATTCTAATAGTGGGCAGTTGGTGTTGACACTCTGACGTCTGACTTTTACTTTTACCGACTGTTAAAAGTCCATACCAATTCTTTGAGGTGGGTTAAAAATATTATTCTCGTTTGCGGTAAAGGATATTTGTTGTCTCAACTGCAATGAAAGATGCTTCTTCTATTGAAGTTATAAACAAAAAATGGTACCCTTAGCCGCTCTGAAGGATACATTCCTCTGTTCTATATGGAAGGAAATTTTCTTCTACGTAATGATGGATAATGGCTTGTCCTGGCTGCGTGTTGAAAGATAATGTCTTATGTTGTTTTGAAAGAAACATGGCTCCTGTTGTAGTGAAAGATAATGTCTTCTGTTGCGTTAAATGATAAGGTGCTTTCCTATACTTTAGCTGGCTGCTGAAGATGGGGGCGTTGCATAAACAAAAATTCTCGAGTAGTCTAATGTCGGTTCTTGACTCTGCCCAACTCAAGAGCCATCAGTCAGGCTGAAAGATAATATCGTTTTTGCAAAAATTGTACGACTTATCTTTCCTATTGTCGCAACGGATACAGCTGCTATCGTCCGTAAAAGGATTTTGTCTCCTGCATCCAGTGAAAAGATTCTGTCTCCAGTCTTGCCTGGAAGGATTCTCCTCCTATCTTGCGTGGTATGAAACTGTCTTATATCTCCCGTGGAAGGATATCATTACCTCTCTGGAGTTAACCTGACCTATCTCCTCTGCCAGTCAGAAGATATTTTGCTTTAGTTTTGCAGAGGAGCTTGAAGATGGATCGCTGGAATACAAAATATGTAAAATAAATTAGTGAAAGAAAGAAATCATGGGGTTTGTAATTCTGCATAATATTTATAATTTCTAGCTAACACATCAAACGCCCCCCACCCACCCACCCACACACACACGCACACACACACACATACGCGCATGGTAACTGTAACACAAGATTTATTTTGTGAAGGAAACGGGACATGTTGTATTAATTAAATTAGTCCAGCATTGGTAAAATGATTCCCTCATATGCCACACGCCCAAACAAACGTACAGGATGCTGCACGGCAGAGCTACCTGGACTTAGCCAGCCTGTTTCTCTATCTCTGCTTGTCTTTGCTGTGTGTGTGTGTGTGTGTGTGTGTGTGTGTGTGTGTGTGTGTGTGAATGTCTTTCTTGGACTTAGCCAGCCTGTTTCTATATCTCTGTCTGTCTTTGCTGTGTGTGTGTGTATGTTGTGTTGTGTGTCTTTCTTGGACTTAGCCAGCCTGTTTCTCTATCTCTGCCTGTCTTTGCTGTGTGTGTGTGCGTGTGTCTTTCTTGGACTTTGCCAGCCTGTTTCTCTATCTCTGCCTGTCTTTGCTGTGTGTGTGTGTGTGTGTGTGTGTGTGTGTGTGTGTGTGTGTCTTTCTTTGACTTAGCCAGCCCGTTTCTCTATCTCTGCCTGTCTTTGCTGTGTTTTTGTGTGTGCGTGTGTCTTTCTTGGACTTTGCCAGCCTGTTTCTCTATCTCTGCCTGTCTTTGCTGTGTGTGTGTGTGTGTGTGTGTGTGTGTGTGTGTGTGTGTCTGTGTGTGTGTGCGTGTGTCTTTCTTTGATTTAGCCAGTCCGTTTCTCTATCTCTGCCTGTCTTTTTGTGTGTGTGTGTGTGTGTGTGTGTGTGTGTGTGTGTGTGTGTGTGCGTGTGTCTTTCTTGGACTTAGCCAGCCTGTTTCTCTATCTCTGCCTGTCTTTGCTGTGTGTGTGTGTGTGTGTGTGTGTGTGCGCGTGTGGTGTGTGTTGTGTGCGTGCGTGCATAAGTATGCGTATTTGCGTATGTGTGTGAACATTATCTCGTATGTCTGTTGCCAGGGTGATTGCCGAGGTTTCATGCTGAGGGCAGAAGAGGCCGTTAAGGAGTGCCTTTGATGTTTGGTTTGTGTTCTCAGCTCTCATCTTTACTGTAGTGATACTTGGTCAGCTTTTTTTCCACCAAGAGAACCGGCTAAATAGCTTTCATGTTTGATGTTTAAGAGGAATACTTGGTATTAAGTGGCAAGACTGCTACTGAGGCCTTTGAAAGAGCAGGTTTTACAACAGTTTTCTCAATGCTCAGTCTCCAAAGGCTCAGGTAGCTGGGTCACACATGAAGTATGGAGAATACTACAATCCCTAAGGACATTCTCTACTGTGAAATAGAGTTAGGTGCAAGCGGGACAGGAATGATGCAGGAATCAAAGTAGATTCGTGGAATAAAATACCATGGATAAACTAGGAAGGGAATAAGAATAACGGAAACAAAGATTGCAGAAAGGATGAGAGCTGAGCATCTTAGTAGAAGCATACTAAATATATGTGATGGTTACAATGGTACTGAAACCCTATGCTCTAATTGTGAAAGACTTTTCTCAATGTATTCAGGTCTTGCTAGTCACACTCGGTATCGACATGAGATATGATTCTCATGTCTCCTCAGAGCCCAGTATAGCACTATCGTCTGGAAAGACAGTAAAGTGCCAACGATGTTTTTGTAGAACCTCTTGGGGCTTCAGAAAAAGCATGATGCATAAATTCACAAGTATTATATAAACTGAATAGTAGATTAAGTACCTGGCGAATAATAAATAATTGATATCTCCATAAATCTACGGGGTATTGCGTGAATTACTATTTTTACGGGCACACTAATTGCAGGCATTTAGCCTATAGTATCATCATAATCCTGAAGCAGGTACTCGCACAACGTCGCTCTCATCACGGTCTGCCTGAAAGAAACTTGGTCTTTTACCAGCACTTACACTTCAAGCTCATTCCTTCCCAAGGAATCACTTTAATCCTTTGCTCTTCTTCATGTTGGTCGGCTCATGTCGAGTTTATGTTGGTCGGCTCATGTCGAGTTTATGTTGGTCGGCTCATGTCGAGTTTATGTTGGTCGGCTCATGTCGAGTTTGTGTTGGTCGGCTTATGTCTAGTTTATGTTGGTCGGCTCGTGTCGAGTTCATGTTGGCAAGAAAATTATTTTAAAAAAAATAAAAAAAATATATATATATCTAAATACCAATTTTGGCCATTCACAGAAATTAAATGCGTCGCAAAATTACCTCTACAATGGTACAGTGAACATGGCATGTCCGTTAGAATTGGCTGTAGGAATACAGCAGTTCTCACAATAGACAATCGGGAACAGCTGCGTGGTATTTCCGCCCCAGACCAATTCAAGAACTAATCGCTACTATAGTATACGTTTGCGCTCATTTCATTCTCATTTTTTTAAGGTCGACATTGTTTATTAATCTGAAGAAGGCATGTCTTTACAAATTTCTTTTTTTCTGCGTTTGACATCAGTCATGCTATACATTGAGTATGACCATATCGCTAGTGCGTAGATGTCCGATTTTTAGTCCCGTATTTGTTTTTACAAATAATTGGTACTCTGCCTACACATGTTTTTAACGACGAACGGCTGTATCTCTGCAGGTGAAATTCTAAAGAGGTTTCATCAAGAGATAATGATTTACCCCCAAAACGAATCCTTTTAACTGTTTAAATACACATTATACTCGGCTACACCAAAGATAAGACACAAACACGTTGAGATTATTTGATTTAACCAGCTATCAACTCTTCCGGTCTGTAACAACGCAGCATGGGTGACTGGGTATTATTCAAGTGTGCTAGCGAAACAATTTTCTTTTACTTCTTGTGTTTAGCGAGGGAATCTGAAGAACTCTGGCAACACATTTATTTCCTCCACGGGTTGTATATTTGGCCCCTCTCGATGTAGTAAATCCATGAATGCAGTGTTACCATTCTTGCCTCCCACAGACATTAGCAGTGACTTTGTGAGATTGAAATTGTTAACAGCAGACTTATTTTATGTAGAAAACCTACTAATTAAACATTTCTAAAGACAAAAGCAATATTTCCACGTTGTAAATTTAAACAAAGATACAAACAATAGACTGTACAATTTTAATTTTTTTTTAATTGTTACTGTAGTGTGCACCTGACGATATACAGTGTCTTCAGCAGTTTAATAAATTGTGCAATCTATCGTTTGGGTCTTTTTTATTCACATTTTTAAACACCTTAAACAACAAAAGAAAACGAATTGCATTCTGGAAAACGACTTAAACATTGTCAATTTTGTTTGATACGGTGACTTATACAAGACAATAAATTGTGTAATCTATCGCTTGTATC